TAAAAGTCGCAAAAACTGAAATAGTAGCTAAAGGCTCGTAAAAACTTAATCGGCAAAAGAATAACTAGAAGCACCAGCTAATAGCTAAGTAGCAAAAAAGGTAGCTAAAAGTAGCTAAAGTGTAGCTAAAAAAATTAAGTAGGAAATGCAGTTAAAAATAGCAAAAAGGATAGTTAAAAGTAGCAAAATGCAAAAAGTAGCAAAACTCTAAGACKTGTAAAAGCTAAACCAAGCAAAAGACTGATTAAAAGAAACAAGGCAATAAGCTAAAAAGTAAAGAAAGCAAAAATGTAGTTAAAAGTAACAAAGCGTTAAATCAAATCATCCATGTCCTGTTTTCACAAAATGATGCTTTTCTTGTTTAGTTTGACCAAAAAATGAAAACAGTCACATTGAAATAAGAAGACATGAACAAATGTTATGTCAAAGTAAGTCTAATATAAGCATCAGAAACCAAACAACACAACTCCTGACAGTCATTTCAAAATTACAAAACTGAAAAGCTGATTAAATTTAGTCTCTTTGGTCACACCAACAGTCATTTCTTCATAGTTTCACTGGTAACAGTGAGAGGTACCATTATATTATTTTATTCCTATGCAGAACAATTGGCTCAAGAAAAAAAAAAAAAAAAACAGAACAAATGTTGTTCCTTCCATTTATGCTGATATAGTCAACCGTTCAGGAGAAACTATGAATATTTAGTCCGTTTCATCTGGGGGGTCGGACTCTGCCAGGGCCGACCGGACGAGATTAAATCTCAGCTCATCTGATTGAACCTTATAAAGATTCAAACCGAGCTAATTTCATGCTGATCTGGTTGCCTCCAGTCAAACTATCCAAAAGGCAAAGAGGCTATAATGATTCAGACAAGAACAGACAACAAATAAATGGTAAAATTATGTTAAAGGGCCTTTTTACCTTTGAGAAGAAATAGTTCAATTTAAATGTATCGTTTTATCAGCGTACGGTTCTCCAGCTTTACAGAAGAGATTACACCAATTAGATACCAAAATATGGCAGCCAGACATTCACAGCCACAGTTARACATGTTTCTACCAATATACATTTTAATATACACACTTATGGTGATAATCCTTCCAAAATTACTTCAAACCGTACATCAGTTCTAGGTTTTGTAAATACATAACAGTAACAGTGGACTACTGATAAAATTACCTGGAAACTGATAAAATAACCTGGACAAAGGAAGAAGCTGAAGCCAATAATACGAAGGCCACCAAGTGGAAAGAGAGAAGCAAGGACTTATTGGTAACAACAAACTTATGGATTGGTCAACAATAGACAAAACATTYGTAAACAAGGAAAAACAACATCAAGCTGTCGGATTGCTTTCATAAACCCGTCGATGGAGGCTATTTGTGGAGAAGAAGTAAAACCCAACATCCAGACCGACTAACTTTGGACTCGTTGCAAGAGAAGGAAGACGCTGCAGAAGGTTGACAAGGTACAACAAAGACGCTATGCCAAAGGGGAGCTGGGAAGACAGTGGGGGTGTGGGGGGTCATTATTACCACCTGAGAATGACACTTATGACTCTTTTCCGAAGGCTTAGCAATAAAAAAGCTCATCAAAATGCAAGAAGATACGAAAGCAGCACCTGTGGCGCCATCTCAGACCAATAAGCTATAAAGTAGGGGTTAGGGGTGTTGGTTCAGGACTTTGATACAAAAACTAATGGTTGAGGGCAGAGGTCTTCAACCCTGTTCCTCGTGACCCACTATTCTGGAACTTCCTGAGTCAAAYAATTAATTTTAGAAAGTAACCAAGCTTAGCAGTAGCCTGTCAATCACTCATTTATTTCAGTCAGGTGTGCTGAAGCAAGTAAACATCCAAAACCTGAATGGGCTTAGGGTTTAAAACCCTGGAGCAGCCAACATTTACCCTTGGTGCATARGGAGAGAATAATGAGGTGTTATTGACTAGACGCGACGCACACTTCAGAAGATTGACCGCTGTGGTACGAGCAAGACGGTGTATTGGAAGGACAGGACAGTCAATGTAAACAATCATGGCTAGATTTCTGTGTAGAACTGAATATAATCATTAGTTTTTTCATTGGTTAGCATCTACCTTTTAGAAACATCTTTCACTGCCAACATGTTTTTACCTGGTAAAATAATGATAAACCTGATAAAATAATGTGTACTATAATGTGTCCAATGAACCGAGTTTCATTGATGTGACCTAATTTTAACATGTTATGGTTGCATCWTTTAGCTTCACCTGCTTGTCTTTGCCTTCAACAATGTGGCCGATCTCTCAGACCAAAAAAAAGTCAGGTGTTAGCGAGTTCTAGCCAAAATMGTGAGAGACTTAGAAATGAAGCCATGGTCGCCTGGATGAACAAGTGTCAGAGGTTGGGGTTAGGGGTATTGTCTCATGACTGGTAAGTAAGCTATGGGTTTAGGGTTCAAACCCTGTAGCAGCCAACCTCTGGACAACCTTGGTGCATAAAGTCTTTAAGGTCACCTGGATGAACCAGTGTCAGAGGTTGGGGTTAGGGGTATTGTCTCATGACTGGTAAGTAAGCTATGGGTTCAAACCCTGTAGCAGCCAACCTCTGGACAACCTTGGTGCATGAAGTCTTTAAGGTCACCTGGATGAACCAGTGTCAGAGGTTGGAGAACCAGGACATTCTGATCAGAAAAGCGATTTCCTGGTTCACACATCCTAAATGCCGATCCCTAGCCTTGTTGTTGTTGAATTCAATAGATCTGGCGCAGGAGTGCTGATGAATCWCATAAGTTTAATGTGTTTAAGCTCCTTAAAAGCCTATTGACGTTCAACAGAGTGATACAAAGTTGGCTAATTTCCCCCTGGTCGTCTCTCTGGGTCTGCTGGCAACACAAACTCCCAGAAACATAAAACCCTCTGCATCCTGTGAAAGACAGAGGACACGCCGCGTCGCAGCGATTTATGTTACCGAACAGAGAATAGGCCTCGACAGAAATACAGTACGCTCAGATATTACTGCTTTTTCTSCACACCTTAAAATCAACCCGTGACTGTCGTTTTTTTTCTTTCATTTTTTTTACGTTCAGCATTGATCCCTTTTTACAGCCTCTTTTCAGTGAGTGCTTCAGCCTTATCGACGGCGCCCCCGCCTCGTCTGCCTCACGTTTGAAACCAACGAGGGGGGACGGGGGCGCCCGTATGACAGCTAACACCCGGCGTTAATTAAAATGTCATGCCTCCAAATCAATAGTGTAAAACAGTTCAAACACAACTCGTCGCCACTGCTGTGATAAGTACTTTCGGGGCGTCRTGTAAGTCCAAAGACAGAGATGCAACAGAATGGTATGACAGAATTATCCAGGGAGAACATGTAACATTAAAATTTATGATCTTACGAGTTTGCTCACAATTGAAAAA